CCCCCTTTCCCCTGGCAGGGGAGAAGCCGGGAGGGCGGGAAGGGAGCGAGGAGAAGGTGGGACCCCCCATTTGGTCCCCCCCCACCCCCAGACTCGCCGCCGCCGCCATCAATGGGCCCTTTCACGGGCCGGGGGTGTGGGCCGGGCCGGGTGACCTGAGCCTGGTCCCCAGCCCCGCTGCCACCGGCACCGCCCGGGCCCTGCAGCTGCAAAATGTTGTCCTTGGCTTCGGCGCCCGCCGCCGCGCCGGCCCCGCTGTCCTCCGGCCCTCAGCTGTGGGCCCTGGGCCCTCTGCGGCCCTGCGGGTCCCCAAAACCCCGTGTGGGGCTGGCCATGGGGCTCTGTGTCCCCAAAACCCTGTGTGGGGATGGCCTTGGGGCTCTCTCTCCCCAAAACCCCATGTGGGGCTGGCCCTGGGCCTCTGTGTCCCCAAAACCCTGTGTGGGGATGGCCTTGGGGCTCTCTCTCCCCAAAACCCTGCGCATGGTTGTCCTTGGGGCTGTGCCCCCCCAAACACCCTGTGTGGGGCTGGCCCTGGGGCTGTGTCCCCCCAAACACCCTGTGTGGGGCTGGCCCTGGGGCTCTGTGTCCCCAACACCCCGTGTGGGGCTGGCCTTGGGGCTCTGTGTCCCCAAAACCCTGTACATCAATGGCCATGTGTCCCCAAAACCCTGTGCGGGGCTGGCCCTGGGGCTCTCTGTCCCCAAAGCCCTGTGTGGGGCTGGCTTTGGGCCTCTGTGTCCCCAAAACCCTGTGCATTAATGGCCCTGTGGCTCGCTGTCCCCAAAACCCCGTGTGGGGCTGGCCCTGGCGCTCTGTGTCCCCAAAACCCCATGTGGGGCTGGCCATAGGGGCTCTCTGTCCCCAAAACCCCGTGCGGGGCTGGCCCTGGGGCTCTGCGTCCCCAAAACCTTGTACATCAATGGCCATGCGTCCCCAAAACCCCATGTGGGGCTGGCCATGGGGCTCTGTGGCCCCAAAACCCTGTGTGGGGCTGGCCCTGGGGCTCTCTGTCCCCAAAACCCCGTGTGGGGCTGGCCCTGGGGCTCTCTGTCCCCAAAACCCTGTGTGGGGCTGGCCCTGGCGCTCTGTGTCCCCAAAACCCCGTGTGGGGCTGGCCATAGGGGCTCTCTGTCCCCAAAACCCCGTGCGGGGCTGGCCCTGGGGCTCTGCGTCCCCAAAACCTTGTACATCAATGGCCATGCGTCCCCAAAACCCCATGTGGGGCTGGCCATGGGGCTCTGTGGCCCCAAAACCCTGTGTGGGGCTGGCCCTGGGGCTCTCTGTCCCCAAAACCCCGTGTGGGGCTGGCCCTGGGGCTCTCTGTCCCCAAAACCCTGTGTGGGGCTGGCCCTGGGGCTCTGTGTCCCCAACACCCCGTGTGGGGCTGGCCTTGGGGCTCTGTGTCCCCAAAACCCTGTACATCAATGGCCATGTGTCCCCAACACCCTGTGCGGGGCTGGCCCTGGGCCTCTCTGTCCCCAAAACCCCGTGTGGGGCTGGCCCTGGGGCTCTGTGTCCCCAAAACCATGTGTGGGGCTCTGTGTCCCCAAAACCCCGTGTGGGGCTGTCCTTGGGGCTCTGTGTCCCCAAAACCCTGTGCAGGGCTGGCCTTGGGACATGTGTCCCCCAAACCCCCTGTGGGGCTGGCCCTGGGGCTCTCTGTCCCCAAAACCCTGTGTGGGGCTGGCCCTGGGCCTCTGTGTCCCCAAAACCCTGTGCATTAATGGCCCTGGGGCTCTCTGTCCCCAAAACCCCGTGTGGGGCTGGCCCTGGGGCTCTGTGTCCCCAAAACCATGTGTGGGGTTGGCCCTGAGGCTCTCTGTCCCCAAAACCCTGTGTGGGGCTGGCCCTGGGGCTCTGTGTCCCTAAAACCCCGTGCGGGGCTGGTCCTGGGGCTCTGTGTCCCCAAAACCTTGTACATCAATGGCCATGTGTCCCCAACACCCTGTGTATGGCTGTCCTTGGGGCTTGTGTGTCCCCAACACCCTGTGTGTTGATGTCCATGTGTCCCCAACACCGTGTATATGGCTGTCCTTGGGGCTTGTGTGTCCCCACACCCTGTGTGTTGATGTCTATGGGGCTGTGTGTCCCCACACCCTGTGTGTTGATGTCCAATGTGTCCCCATCACCCTGTCCATCGCTCCCCATGGGGCTTGTGTGTCCCCAACACCCTGTGTGTGGTTGTCCTTGGGGCTGTGTCCCCCCAACACCTTCTTTGTTGATGTCCATGTGTCCCCACACCCTGTGTGTTGATGTCCATGGGCCATGTGTCCCCAAACACCTTGTGTGTTGATGTCCATGTGTCCCCATCACCATGTGTATGGCTGTCCATGGGGTTGTGTGTCCCCACACCCCGTGTGTTGATGTCCATGGGGCTGTGTGTCCCCCTCACGCTGTCCATCACTCCCCATGGGGCTCTGTCCCCCCCAGCCCCCCATACCTGCCCCCCCAGCCCAGGCGATGTCCC